TGAAATTCCCCCTCTAACATTCCGTTACCAGTTTCTGTGTATCAGTTAGCTGTCTCCAAAGTTGGAATATCTCCGGAGGAACCCCATTCCCCAGTTTTCTTGAGTTAACCACCCTGTCGAATACCTCTGCCGTGAGTATGCCGTAGATCATTTTGGAATAACACGTTTGGAAAACCCTTGAGAAAAATTCTTATTTGTTTCCCCAACGATCCCAATTATTGCCTACAGCGAATTTTTGAGGAAACGGCAGCCGGGGATGAAAAGCCTGGTGATTGAACTCTTGGTTGTCCTAAGGAACAAGTTGCAACACAGTCAAGGAACAGAGTGATGATAGCACAAAATTGCAGCTTTACGTGACGGATCAAGTGTCTCGATTCTCGCAATCAGTATCTTGTAATTCCGGGCTCTTTATCACACTAGTGATGTGGCTTGAAATAACTCTAAAAGAGATGATCGCCAAAGGTCAATCAATAATCAACTGTTTTGTGGCGATCATGTTTGTTATCACTTTACATAGCCCCGGAAGATCATACGACCCTGATTTCAGTGTCGTGCATTCCAAATAATCACCTTCTTTTCCCAACAGCCTGCTATGAACAGCGAAATTTCTATTGAGCCATGAAATAATACAGTTGTGAGGTTTCTGTGTTTGTTTCTTCCTACTGTGCAACACTAATATAACCGAACCTTCAGCAAAATTAACTGTTCCTGGCGTGATTAATACTTATTCCTTAGTGGAGAAAACCATCTGTGGTAAACTTGATCTCCATAGTTTTAAATAATACTGTATTGAGCAGGCTTTTGGAAGCCATATTACTGTTCAATTAATGTAAGTGTGGGTTCCCGATGAAACAGTGACTGAGTCCTTTTGCTCATGCAGTTTGTTGTGTACGGAATTACCGGAGAGCTACGTACGCAACAGATTCGTTTATTAACACATCAGTTAACTCGCTTGTAAGCGGGCAAGCTAACATGTGAATATTCCTTTGGCAAACTCAAGCAGTAAATGCGATCCAGAGTGGTCAAGCTATCAATCAATAGGCAGTCAATAGCGGTGCATGCGTGTGAGACAGTGATTGCGCGAGTGACCACTTGAACCGACACAGCGGAATTGGTTTTTATTTTGAGGATCGTACAACGAACAACCCCTAGGCAGAGGAGTGCTCATCCTTGTGTACTACACCACATTCATATTTGACCGTTTACCAAACTCGGTCAACTTGTCGTGTTGACTAAGACCAAGGCAATTCAAATTTTCCAAGAAACAGAACAGGGCTAAAGCTAGTTATTTACATCAAGTTAGTACACAACTTTATATTAACAACGTTTGTTCGGTAAATTATGAAGAAAATTAGGAACGAAAGACCCATCGCAAAGCAAAATCTTTTTCATTCGAATTTTCACAACACCTGTAGTCTTCTCAGAACTCGCGTTGTTCAAAGTGCTGTAGATGACACTTCCATCCGGATAAGTTTTATCATGATTCATTGCAGCTAATTCCAATGAACCTAATTGGTTTGCAAAAGCAGGCATGCCAGACTGAGTTTCTTTGGAGAATTTCTTATCAAGAGTCACGTTTTGTAAGCCTTGTGAGCTTCACCGTGGATCGTATTGAAATGAGGGTTTTAGACAAGATGGTTTGCACAGTAATTTGCATTTTTCCCAACACATGACGACCTTCGTTGGTAGCTAAATGCCCGCCTCACGTCGACCGAAAGCGGATGTTGCTTACCTTACGTCGCCCATGCATTCGACAGCCTAGTGAAATTTATCAGAACATTTTCCCACTGAATGAATTCAATTCTTATCAGATGGTGTTTTTCCTTGTCAAAACCCAGATAGAAGGAGTTGTTTAAATAAAAATCACATGCTTCTACCCACTGTCTCTTGTAGTGACACAATGTTCCACATGGCTATGAGGAGTGCATGGTTCACGCAGGTGCCAGGCTCGTACGTGTGACTAATCGTGGCAACGAATAGGCATCAACCAATAGACAGTCAGTACCGGTGTGTGAGTGCAAGACTGTCTGATTGCGCACGTGGCTACTTCAACCAAACACACCACCCAGGGCCACACAGTCTCCACTGCCCACAGATCACCATAGATATGACGAATAAAAGAGAACAATTTATGTAAAGTTTTATATTCCGACCACCTAGTACAAGAAGTTGTAGATCATTTGGGAAGGAGAAGCTGAATACGAAGAAGATGATTTGTTGACCGATTTTCGACAACACAAGTACAGACACATATAAACGCAGCATTAAGAAATAAGGTTTTGGATGAGATTTTTCGCCCCATTTAGAGTATTGCAATCCTTCAGAAACCAAAGCCCGACATTCACTTAGGTAGCTGCTTCACATATCGAAATGCTCCAAGCCGGAAAGCGCGTGATCAAGCTATCGATTCAAAACCCTATGGTTACTTTGGAAAAATCATTCGTTTTCAAGGATTTACTTTTACATCCAATGGAAGTTCTGAAGGCTTTAGGAACTGACAAAATCAATGCTGTCCTGGTGGATGGTCATACGTGCTGGCGTATTATTAAGGCTTATGTACTGAATGCTAGTGTACCAACCATTGAAACAGGAATAATTTTACCGGATCCGTAGGAGTTGAGAGTCGTGTATCAACTCATAAAGATCAATTCAGACCGGACACCGGTTTGATACCCAATGAAACATTTCACATTTCTGTAGCAGCGAGTGGAAACTTTTTCTCGCGGGAGTGAATGTGATACGTACTCATTTATGCAAGTAGGATATTATTGTATCTGGGTGACGGGACAAATTCTTCCGGAAGCACACGACCGGCTTCGTGTTTACTGATGCTCATAAGTTTTGCATACGCAGTACTCTCCTTTCGAATCATCCTCACAATTGAGCACTCTACTTTAGATTGATCCTTTTTATCTCATCTGAATTGTGAGCAGCGTGCATCACAGTGCTGCATAATTTAAACACATGAAGTCGTTTGAACCAAAAAGTTGATTCAGACTCACATTAGACGAGTTTTTCCGTATTCGAAGCTATTCCCGAATATTTTTCATAGTATAAGAGAAACAAATCAAACTTTTCTTTAAAACTGAAGAATAATGCAGCTCCGTTTAATTGTGAAACATTGTTACCAATGATAGTTGACTGTCTGAGCCTGTGCCTGTGACCTGATAATCTGCACTGTCTGGCTGATCAGTGAGTGCTCCACTTGTTTTAATCAAAGCTCCCTTACTATTATTTTACTAAAATGGTTGATAAATGTCCAAATCCCTCCCCCTTGAGACTCGAGAAGCCATATGTATGCATTAGGATGGGGTCACTTTGACCAGTCTGACCAGAAAAAGTAGAATTTGTCCTTGCATACTGGAGGTCACTAGCCGTTTCATTTTTCCAAGTCCGGAAAATGCTGGGGTGGGACGGATTTAAAGAAATCCGTTTAGTCTGAGCAATTAGCTCTGTGTTTGACTGGAAGAAAACATTTTGTAAAAAATATTTTCGTATATTAGCGGAAAACCCTGGATGATCCAACGTCAGACGAACGGATACAAGCGAACCATTTTGACAGTGCCGAATAAAGATAAGCAACAGCAACAACCGATTTGTATCGGACGATTTATTCTCTTGTTCTTATTGAATGGAACTGAAAATCTCACAGTAATTCAAGGGTTGATGGATTCAGAAGGGGGAATTTCATTCCTGGGTTATTTCAGTTGAAACTTGTCAGATTTTCGTGGCAGGTATCAGCGTTTACTTTGCAAGGGGAAATGGGAGAAGCTCGGTACAGCTTAATTATCAATTTCTTTGGGACTCACCAGGAGGGAAGCCGATCGACAATCAAGCCCTGGATGTGATTCGTATTTCCCTTGTTCCACTTAGACCCCCGAGGGAGACGGTGCAGAAGTCCCTCATAAGAGATGACCGTCATACTCGTGACAACCTGTTATTATTCAGGTCCGTTACCAAGTTGGCTCTATCATTATTGCCATTAGCCGATTATTTCCACTAAGCACATTTAGAGAACCCAGATTGCTGAACAAACTCGTTTACAGTGATTCAAACTCATACCATAATATCACAATTTATCACCATAGGCTAGGGAATTTAACCAATTAGGAGTGATGGAGGCTAATCGCGACGAAAACCGAAAGAAAATAACTATGATCCCGGCTTAAATCATGACCGGATGTAGATTGTCAGCTTCCGGACAGGAGCTGGGTGGTGCAGTGATAACACACACGTCTGCGAGATGGAAGGGCGCGGGTTCGAACCCTGGATGTGGCAGAGGATATGCACCATTGATGAGCTCTAACAAGAGCGTAATTCGAGTATGGTGTTTCCGAGTGCAGGTTGGTCAGATGACCTGAGGTTTGCGCGTGAAACCTGGGATCCAAAGAACAGTCAACCAAGCAGTTTTCATCTGGTCTATGGCCTGTTGTAGGGTGGAGGATGAGTCATGGCAGCTTAAGAGCACACATTGTATTTGAGCACATCAAGAAGGATTGTAAAAGTGGTGGTGATTGTCCACTCCAGGCCATTAAAAGGGGCACGAAAAGCCTCGGGAAAGTTTACTATCGAATTGGACTGAGCTATGTGCGAAACGACCGCGCCAGTGAGCGATTAATTTGTTCGGGTGTGAAAGGGAAACACATGGCTTCATTTGATTTCCAATCACTGTTTACGAATGTTCCCGGTCGGGAGGTCATGCGTATCATCTGTGACCATGTGGAGCAAAACCAACTGAAAATCGGTATACCAGTATCAGTTCTGGTTAGACAATTACTACTGTGCACAACAAACGTATCGTTCTCCTTCCTTGGTCGGGCTTTCAGACAAATTGATGGTGTCCCAATGGGAACTCCATTGAGTCCCATTCTGGCATATATATTTATGGCTCGTCTTGAGAAAAAAAGGCGAGCAAAATCTTCAAACGTTCACAACTTTACAAACGATACGTTGATCATGTTCTAGTCATCACAATAAGTCTAGAAGAGACAACATGGATTATGGATGAACTCGATCGCCTGCATCCGAATATACGATTCACGACGGAAGCAGAACGAGAAGATACACTGCACTTCCTCGACAATAAAATGACTAGGAAGAATGATGGAACAATCGATAGGTCTGTTTACCGAAAAGAAACTTGGACAGGCCAATGCTTGCAATTTGACAGCTTTGTGTCTGTTGAATATGAACGTGGTCTGGTCCGAAAACTATTTCAAACAGCTCGACATATCTGCACCGAAGACATGATTGACAACGAACTACGACAGCTGAAAGAATCTTTGACTGGAAACGCTTATCCCGATGCGTTTTTCAAAGGCACAGCAATCCTAAAGTGATCAGACAAACGGATTGTTCAGCAGAAAAACTACTAGTCACCCTTTGTCTTCCATTCAAACGTGATGACATCAATTGCTTGCTCAAACGACCACTTGGATCAGTGCTTGCCCGAACATATTATGCAGCTGACCTCAGAATTGTTCATCGAACGATTGAGATCCCCACACCGTCGGTGAAACAACGTCCACCTCTGTACACCAAATCGAATCTGATTTACCAATTTCAGTGTAGTTGCGGAGCTACCTACGTGGGTCCATCTTGCAATATATGAGACGTGCAAACGATTCATTCTAATCGATCATTCACTCCTGACCTCATTGATCAATCAAACGATCAAAACCATTCAATCGTGCCCCACGGCAGTTTTTCTCATACAAATCGTTTTGCGAATGAGACTCGAGCTTCCCTATTTCTCGTTACTATTTGAGTATTTATCGGACGAATCATTTCACAAATACGCCACTTTTGAATTGTCTTATCCGTTGTGACCGGACCATAGTCGTCAGCATACTTCTGCCTTATCGGATCACTCAGTATATGTCGCTTCTCATTGGGGCCTATTCAGGAAGTAAGGCTTGTGTTGGAAACGTTCTGATTAGACTTGTCGGTGCTCATGGTTTAAATTGGTATCAGTGTCGGAGAAATGTGGTACACTTTCGTTTTGGTAACATATTCTTCACTACTCGGTTTATTTTACTTCCGCGAATCTGTAGCGGAATTTCCGATCACAAGTCTAGTTTTGTTTGTTGACCGATTTGTGTTGAATATTCGCATATTGTTACCCGACACTGAATTACTGTTGTTCAACAGGATAGAAGTGTGAGGTTCCCGGAGAATTCTGAAATCGTATGCCTGCGCATCTTCGACAACCTCTGATTAGTGAGCTTGGAATTCAGGGGACAAACTTTTCATCATCATCCGAGATGCCACCATTAGTACATAGGAACTAATGAAAACCTTCCTCCCAAAACTGCGACCTACACCAGTTCTTAAAGCCAATAATTTCGGTATCAGATTTCGGATTCTTCATCAAGACATACCTGAGGAATAAGTGAATAGAAACTGGTTACCATTTGTCAGTCAGTGGTTAAACTCATTCGAATTGAATATTTTCCTTCCTGATTTACCACGTATTCTGGGGTGAACTTCAAAATTTACTAACGTTTCATCCAAATAAGCTTTTCACAGCACAGTAAAAATATAATCAAGTCGAAATTCCATCCTATTTGTTAAAAATGCTAAAAACTTCAGGGGAACGAGGTGCTGCTATTACGGGAAATATTTTATCACTGTTTTCGTTAGTGTTTTGGGAATCCTCTGTGGCGATGTGCACCTGTCGAGCTGGAGCTGGGAATTGGACCGGTCGAGTAGGATTATGATTCACTGACATTAGGCATGCAGCACTTAACTTCAGCAATCACCGAAATACCACCCGTATTGATGACTCTCGGCTCCGATGCTTTACTGATCACAGATTACGAATCATGCGTAAAGTCGGTGTAAATGAGCTCACAGCAAGCTCAGAATGGGAACGGTTTTAGCATGTTTCCCATTCGAATCTCTCCAGCTCAGTTTATTCTCCGTCTTCAAGTCTCGCGTCCTGTCTCGATCTGCACAAATTATTCAGGTTGCCTTCTTTCGTACCAGTACGAACGTTTGTTGCTCGCAGATACTGTTTCCACGATCAGGAAATGGTAACGTGCTAATAAAATGCGTTTGAATAGGCCCATGAGTAAATGCAATCACAGTGGGGACAAAAACAATGCCTAAATATGGTCTCGTTTGACATTTGTGTGAGTAAGTATTGTCCGCTTGCACCGCATTGATATGATACTCAACTTTACGGATAAGCCATACTTTTCAAAAACATTTCTAAAAGACCTCATTTGACTTACCGCCGTAAATTTAGACGATTGTGTAAATTTTCTTAGAGAACACTTTTAACTGTACCCTAATGCTATGCATATTCCGCAAATCTTTCATGGTAAGGGAAATTCGGCATATAGCTTTGCTTATTCGATAAAGCGTACAAAAATGTTTCCTCTATTTTTCACGGAGGTGAAAGCTTTATCACGTGGAATTCATTGCTGAGCTGGTTCGAAGTCAAATAGCTGGTTACCTGTTTGGTACTCATACTCGTACGCAATATTCAGATGGATATCATTATTGGAAGTAATCAGCATGCAACTGAAAACAGTAAAATGCACCTCACTCAAGCAAAGCTTTGCTCATTTTTGATATAGATGAATGATAAACCTGTAGGCTAACAAGAGAGACAGAATTTATTATCTACGAATAGAATACAGTACAAAATAGTAAAGACTATTTGGACGAATCTAGGATGCCCATCATGATTCTCTACCAGTCTGACCTTGCACGAAATGACAAGGACGTCATTGTGCACAGCTCGTTGTCTTACACTATAGTTTTTAAGCGATTTGGTGATGGGATCTTGTTGTGTCACAGTAAGGACGACAAGGTTCATATACCTATCCTTCCTGCTCGTGCCCTTTTTACTCCATATAGTAACGAAGATGGCGAGACGAGTGAGGACACTCGTATTTGGACAAGTTCGTGGAACATATGTAACCATTTATATGATCCGTTCACGAAACTGAGCTACAGCAGCTTTGATCCTCCGACTGCCCGAGTATTCTGGCTGCATTCTGGCCAGTTCACTATGGCCGTTAGCTTGATTCTCTTACTCATTATTTAGGTTCAGCTGATCCGATTGCTTCAGTTGAAGGCTTGTTCGGTAGCTCCTCACCTGAGCTATCCTCCTGGTTGCAAAATATCCCGCTGCGTTCTGTCTGCTAGTCCGAATGCCTCTTTTTGTTTGTCGGGCGATACTTCTGACAAATGCATCGTCTGTTCTTTGGTCTGTGGCTCACGACGGGTTGGTCTAATCGGCTTGATGTTTGCATCGTTCTGCTGCTTCAGTATTCGCCTCTGCAATATGAATTCCACGTGGATTCTTCCCTCCTGACACAGGAAATGTAAACTGCCGGTGATATGACAAGCAAGTTCCCGGCTGATATATCATGTATCCCAGTTAACGAAATATTCCCAGTTGATTTTAACTAGAAAACAGTTACTGGAATGATAAATCGAATACCGGAATCACCACTTTATGGATGCATAGGCTTTTATTGTTTCATATGGTTTCCCCATGCATGCAGTTTGGTAATAAACGGATCTGTTGCGTACGTAGCTCTCCGTTAATTCCGAACACAACAAACTGCATGAGCAAAAAGGCTCAGTCACTGTTCCATCGGGAACCCACACTTACAATAATTGAACAGTAATATGGCTTCCAATAGCCTGCTCAATACAGTATTATTTAAAACTATGGAGATCAAGTTTACCACATATGGTTTTCTCCACTAAGGAATAAGTATTAATCACGCCAGGAACAGTTAATTTTGCTGAAGGTTCGATTTTATTGGTGTTGCACAGTAGGAAGAAACAAACACAGAAACCGCACAACTGTATTATTTCATGGCTCAATAGAAATTTCGCTGTTCATAGCAGGCTGGTGGGGAAGAAGGTGATTATTTGGAATGCACGACACTGAAATCAGGGTCGTATGAGCTTCCGGGGCTATGTAAGGTGATAAAAAACTTGATCGACATAAAACAGTTGATTATTGGTTGACCTTTGGCGATCATCTCTTTTAGAGTTATTTCAAGCCACATAACTAGTGTGATAAAGAGCCCGGAATTACAAGATACTGATTGCGAGAATCGAGACACTTGATCCGTCACGTAAAGCTGCCATTTTGTTCTATTAACACCCTGTTCTTTGACAGTGTTGCAACTTGTTCCTTAGGACAACCAAGAGTTCAATCACCAGGCTTTTCATCCCCGGCTGCCGTTTCCTCAAAAAATCGCTGTAGGCAATAATTGGGATCGTTGGGGAAACAAATAAGAATTTTTCTCAAGGGTTTTCCAAACGTGTTATTCCAAAATGATCTACGGCATACTCACGGCAGAGGTATTCGACAGGGTGGTTAACTCAAGAAAACTGGGGAATGGGGTTCCTCCGGAGATATTCCAACTTTGGAGACAGCTAACGGATACACTGTGCACGGGAAATCAAAACAGAAACACGTGGAGAACTTGGCGGCAGTCTCAGATAGAGTTAATTAAATCGGCTTTGGGCTCAGGTCCACAAAATGCCGTTTCCCTTAACCGTAGATGAGGTATTCGGGATAAATAATCTCTTTTGCTGGAATTCATACTGACCCTGAAAATATCGAACAGGTAGCAACATGGCGCACTCTACAAAACAGAAGAAGGGAAACGTTTTCTGCTGGTCAGTTCATAATAAATATGGAATCCAGTAGTTCGAGGATTGGGACGGTATGGACACAAATCAGAGCAGGTGGAAGGAACCACGTATTAGCCTATGGAAGTCAATGCCTGAGTAAATCAGAACTTGATTACTACACAACGTCCATTTTGTCGTGATGGAGAATAAGTGCACGCTCATACACAAAACAAATCAACGCTTCAATGAACAGGAATGGCATATGCGTAGGGGAAGATACTTTCATTGAACGGGGAGCATTGTAAGGTGATACCGAAGATGATCGCCGTGAAGTACCTGATTATGGAATTGTCACACAAAAATGTTTCTTTTAGTGTTATTTCAGGTCACACAACTAGTGTGGTAAAGAATTCGGGATTGCAAGATTCTGAGTGCAAGAACCAGGACACTCCTCCTATAATTTTGGCATTCTGTGACGACACTACCCTGCCCTTTGACAGTGTCTCTACTTGTTCCTTAATATAAGTTCCGTTCAAAACACCAAAGATTCTTCCCTTCTGATATCATGCAGGTAAACTTCCATTTTTTCGTGTTGGAGAGGAAACGCACGCTCATAACCAAGAAATATCACTTCTTCAATGAACAAAAGGAATATAAAATTATGAAAACGCATTTTGCACACGATTTGATTTTAGATATGGCTCAGAACCTTTATTTAAGTGAATGAGCC